GTGTCAGGTTACGTTGTGTTGCATTCAATGTTATCGGAAAAAAGAAATTCATACGCTTAATGTCTGATTTGACATAACTAGTCTGTACCAGTTACATTTTCTAATGAAAATCTAACTGATAATGCCTCTTGACAATAGATGACAAGTGTAGTAGAATAAGGTGTTCTTTTGTCATTACTTTTGCCTTGGTAGTCTTTAATGCCTTCGACGTTTTGGCAAATATTGCGTGCCAATGAATGAAACACTGTTACACATCCGGAGAACAACGCTGCTCCTGCCATGTGGCTCCACAACACAATGTATGACCAAACCTGTTATACCTAAGACTGTTTTATCACCATGGTGTGTGGTCTGTCCAGTTACCAACCAGGAAGTAGGTAACTGGACTGCATAATTGCTATAGATACAGCAAGTGTATAAAAATTAAAAATATTCACAGCAGACATGCCACAGAAGCCTGTCACACTACTGCATCCTCCCTGTTGATGGCTACTATCAGTTTCAGATGGCCATCCTGAAGCCTGCATGCTGAGACATGTGGGCTACTCTGACATCATGAACAGACTTTGCTGCACACTGGTAATCACTGAGTCGAACTTCAGAGCCCAAGCAATAGCAGATTCAGAGGAGAAAACCAGACCAGAATATGTAATCTAAATCAGGATGATGCACTCAAGTCAGACACCAAGTTCCAGAACTGTCACATTTATGTCAATGTTAGGTGTTTTGTTTAATTCCTTTAAAAGAGACAGGCAGTGGAATACTAGCAGACTGGGGACAACATGTTGTGTTGAGTGAGACAAAATTAGCTTTGACTTTTCTGCGAAAGGTTAACATACCTCAGAGATGACAGGCTTGCAGTAGCCAGCTCCGAACACCAGGTTCTCCACAGACACAGCAGACGGGTCGCTCACGCTCTCAGGTGAGCCTTTCCCCAGCCAGGAGCCCTTCCCCGTGCGCGCAAAGCTGAAGAGGGACGTAGAGGACACATGAATGGACCGGCAGTGAAAGTGTGTGTGTGTGTGTGTGTGTGTGTGTGTGTGTGTGTGTGTGTGGGTGTGTGTGTGTGTGTGTGTGTGTTTTGGAAGAAGGAAAAAAAGCTGCAAACATAATTGTTTCTGATTAGATGAACTTCAAATTCAGTCCCCTGCCATAATAGCATCTGCATTTTAAGCATTTCACTTCTAAAATTGTCCTGTGCCATCATGTCTGATTACATTATCAATTCATCTATTGTTTGGCACAAGAAATCTGAATTTTAACTCCTTTAAATCCCCGAATGTCATTTCTGTTAAGAACTTATTAGTTTTTTATAACCATCATATAGGAATCCTGTTTGGGTTCTCAAACCCAATTTATTTGGTGTCTTTACAGAAAGTCCAAAGAAACATGGCATAATTCTACAGATTACAAGGTTGGCTGCCCATTACTAACTGACTGTTTGTGTCCAAAAGGAGACAGATATTGTGACCACCTGACATCACACTGCTGAGTGGTACTTATCTCACTGCTCATGTCTAGCTTTCTGTCTAGCAGCTGTATCTTGAAAAACAGATACAGTAGATGACAGGAGACTTCATCACATCAAATATACGCAGTGACCAAAATAACTGAAGCACTCAACCAAACGTGATCTGAATGTATTTGAGTGATGAGTAAACAAGCAGTGGAATTGGCAGTACGGATGAAATGGTCTGACGATCCTTTGAGTAAAGGGTGTGAGCAATAATTTGGTGAGGAATGGACTGAGACAGTTGTTGCTGGTTGGTCCACACTTGGTTAAAGCTAAGCTTAAATGAGGTCACTGAAATATTAAACTTGTGAAACATGGGGTTGGCTGGCCAAGCAACACCTTAAAACCTATAAGAACTCCTAAAATCACTGCTAGAGGTGACCTCCAGAGAGCAGTGGTAGGTTTGTTAATGATGTTCTTTTGTATTAATTTAGAACTATGATTTGTGGTTGAACCTGGAACATCTGCTTCCTGTGCGGCACATTGTTCCGAAAGCAGCCATCCCTTCCTTGGAGTTAATGACTCCATTCGCTGCAGTCTGGGAAGAACCACTCAGACAAAGACTGACAATACAATCATCTACTATTGGTGTGGTCTCTCCTGTCTTCCTGGTTTCCTGACATTCCAATTGGTTCCAATGTTAAATCAACCTACATGGGCAATTGTGCAAACCCAAAATGCTGCTCCCTTCAGACTCCATCAGGCAATGCAGGCTAATGCATTTTCATGAGGGAACCCCAACGCCCAATCACCTTCACTTCCTGCTTAGACTAACTGTTGGATGGTTGGTCACATCCTCTAGTGATGACTCCACTGAAATAACACCTCTGTGGTTATGAAATCACTTACATACCCACTGTCGGCTCAAATTGTGAGAGAAAATTTTTTAGTTTTGTTGTACTTTTTGTAAAATATTTGCATTTCATAATTAAACTCTACCTGATTAGCGGTTGGTGTAAGGCAACCAGTGAGGCGTGCACGGAGACAGAAATGACAGACAAGTGGAAGTAGTCAAACATGACGGGGACGTGATGGTGAAGGCCTCGCCGCGGATGGAAGTGGAGCCTCAGGGTCCGACTGCTGATCAACGGGACTGTCACTATCTCTGCCAACCTGGAGAGATTATAGATGGTAGATGGAGTAAAAGGGAACAAAAAATGTCGGTATTTAATGCTTTTCTTAGTCCGCTATCACAAAAAAACCACAGGTTTTAACCAAGTAAACAGAAAAACCTACTGTTGCTCATTGTCGGTGAAGTGAAGATCCAACTTCAACTGGAAGTCCACCTCACTCAAGGCTTCCTCCAACTGCAAAACCCACAAAATGATATTCATGCATGATGTCACTGAATCATGAGAAATGATGAATAAATTATTTGTACAATGAATGCACCTTTTTTACTTAACACAAAGAAACGCGCCCTTCTGGTTGGCCAAACTTGCTTTGTCACATCAGTGATTTTTAGGTTGAGAACGTTCAGTACAGGTGAGGGCATTTATTGTTTCGTTTATTATTTATTGTGATGAATTTCTTACAGATGCTGATGTTTTCAAGCTTTTTTTTTCTTCAAAAAATAATGATTTTCTGCTAGTTTATAAAAACACATTTAAGATTAGAATATTACATTAGACCAATAAAAAATATTATTAAAGCAGAAATGTGGGTTTAATGAAATATAAGTTTATAATACGTGCCTAAAGGTTAATATTTTCAAAACATATTAATTTCAATTGGAATGCCTATTCTAATTCATTAAATTTGACTGTATTTAGAGGCATTGTGAGTAAATATACTCCTTCACAATTACATTGTGTTGGTGTAACATGTAAAATGTTAAATAAAATATAGTTTTTACAGTGAACAAACAAAAGCCTGTATTAACTATGGAAGCTGCACTACTTAAAAAAAAAAAAAAAAGGTTTTCCTTTTTTGTATCTCTGCACAGTAAAAGTACAAATGTTTTCAGTTGTGCCTAACACCGATGTTTAGATTGATCAAGCTTACGTTCGTGTGTCTGCGGGGGAAATGAAGGGCTATTTGTGTCTGTGCTCTCTGTGGCTGTGAGCAGCAGATAACCTCCGGGAGGTTAAAGAGTGGGAAGCTCCCTTACACGTCTCTGAACCTCCACTTAGACTTCCACATTTGATGAAATCTCCTAAAATTAGAAGTATTTCAAGAGAACCAGGGAAGCTGTATCAATCATGGAAGGAAAGGGTTAATGCGCCAGCAGCAGGGGATCTAACGGATGATTAGGTCTAAGTAGCACCTAGCTGCCCTGGCTGTCACAGAAGATGGCTACCTTCTCTCAAAAGCGGGCCGGGTTCGATCCTCCAGGATGAACCCATGGTGAAAACGGAACGGACAGCACATCAATATCTGTCCGCCAGGTTTACACAGTTGGTCATTTGAGCCGTAACGGCCATTCTGGGACACAGACAATTAACACGCATGTCAGTTAAAGCGTATTAATTCCAGGCGGCAGATCGCTGAACCCACTGATCCTGCGTCTCTTAGTAATAATAAAGGACAGCGCTCAGTTAGACAGCAGATTAGCTTCTGTAGCCTGTAGCTTTGTTGTGGTTTTCCCCAGTATTGACTTCCTCTCTCTAATTTCATCATCATAATAATTAAAGTCAAAATATTTTGAAGGATTTTATGTTTGACAATTAATCACTATGCTAGCTGGTTCAGCTCCAACCTTAAGTGTGTCATGATAATCACATTAAATATTACTGCACATCACTTTTTAAAAAGATAACCCACAAATCAGTTTGCTGATCTTATTCCAGTACAAGAACCTTCATTTCTATTTACACAAGAAGCTATTTATCTTTAGTGATGCTTTCATTGCCACATCAAAACACTACAATTGAAATATCTTTAGTCTATGTAAAGCTACAACTTCAAAAAAAAAAAAAGAAAGCTTTAACTTGTCAAATTCATCCAAGTTAATTTCTTAAGTTGTCAAGATAAACAAATGTAAATAAAATAAGTTGGATAAAGTTCATTCAGTTACTTGTGAATAACTAATTAAATTTTTTAACGGCATTCTCTCTATATATTGCAGGCCTTTGTTGTTGTTTTTTCTATGTTTGTTGCACTTGGCAGTAAAAATTGAACAAAGTTTAACATAGAACACATTTTAATATTGGACAAATATACCTAAAATACAGAAATCTGTTTTCAAAATATTAGATTTTTTTCAAGGGACAGAAGCTATTCAGTCCAATTAATCGTCCCACTTAGTAAATGATTTAACTGTCGAGTCAACTATTGCTGGCCACACTCATCCCCGAGTACATACTGAATCAAAAACTCACACAGGAACTGATCTGACATCATGAAGAGAGTCAGATGAGCTCAAATATGAAAACACACCAAAAACTAAAGAAATCCAGGAACAGATCTGAAACGAAGTCACTGGCAAAGGGTTTGAATGCAGTTCTGCGAAATACACTAACATAAAAAAAACTTTCTATTGAAAAATGTGTTTTTAAGAAATTGCCATTTTTCTATTAAGATCACTTATTTTCGTAAATCCGATTTGCGCAATTTTAAAGTGAATGGAAACGAAGATTGTGATGACTTCCTGTAATTAGTGTGTGTTGAGGCTGATTTCTATTGTAACAGTTACTGCTGCACCCTAAGTGGAATGTAGAAGGAAAAAAGCCTTTGTAGCTTAATAAGGAAACAGTAGAAAGCACCATTAGTGAATACTAACTGTATTTGTTTCTTTTCTCACAATGTTAAGCAGGAGTCCACTGAGAGCTGTCCGACTCAGAAAGAAAACTACCATGTAATTGTTTTAACTGTTGTATATATTCACCATTTTAAATTCTAATTTACCTGGAAAATTAAGTAGTTTCTATACAGATAGTGTCAGAAACTGCCATATCCAGTGTGACTCACCCTTTCTCCATCCAGTAGTAGGTGGACTTTGAAGATCATGCAGTCGTTGACAGCAATCTCCTCGTTTCTGTAGAGGATCTGAAATATTCGGCTGAAGACGCTGCCGTCATACACCCCCGCAGAGCTGAAGCTGCACTCTCCTGGTGTAGGACACAACCAAACAGCACAACAATTAGCAGCTTACTGCTGCAGGATGATCGTTAGTTCACTCAAGGGCAACTGTCTGTGTGCAAGGTTCACATTTTACATATGGGAGATGTACCAATCAGGCCTGTTACAACTAACTAGTTGTAAAAAAGATGGCAGAATATTTCACTTATAATCTGCCAGTGTTTATTGAAAGATCATTTTGTAAAAATACTGTTGAAATGATGTCTCCATTTTCCTTTTCATTTAAAGTGGAAGTATTATGTATTATGTGTTTTCAAGGCCCATGGTGCCATTTTATAGAACAATCATGTCACTATGGTATTATCAGGTGTTCTAAAAGATGCTGTATAAATCAAATAAGACTTAAAATAAACATGACTTTGCAATTTAATGCCTTGAAATTGTCAAACCTTCTGGAACATTCTGGAAGGCAGACATTTGACACGCATGTCAATTAAAGCATATCAATTCCAGGAGGCAGATCGCTGAACCTGGTTGAAATTGGACCTCTGTCTCTTTAAGAAACTCCTGCTCTTTCTGAAACTCCGCCTTCAGGAAGTCATCACAACATGGCTCCTCTACTAACCCTTTAACAATGTTTTTACCAGTATTGCACTGACCAGTAGCTCCCATAATGAGCTCAGCTGATGCCCAGATTCACCAGGTGTTTGCTAATTGCTGCTGGCTAGTCTGAAGGAGCTGAAAGGGGGAGTGCTGCTATGTGAGGCAGAAACTTGTAAACTGCAGTTCTAAGGAGGAGCTTTGTCCTCAAAGGCGGAGCTAGGTCCACCAAGTCGCTTTGGCATGGAGATTCTCAAACATGCATGAAAAAAAATCAAAGCAGCTCTCCAGGTATGTTTTTGATGAGGGAACAACATTATAACAAACCGTCCCTTTAAACTGATCTTATATTAAACATTTCTGGTAACAGTGTTGCTGTTTGTATCTTTTCCTTCTCAACGCCAGCTGCAGAAAAAGAAAAAACCCTTGCTTCCAGCTGTGAGTCTCAGGAGGTCTCAGTAATCCCCCCCCGCTGAGCTTTTGCCCTTTTCCATTCTGTTCTTATTCTGCCCCTCTCCACAGGCCTCCTCTCCACGACGCTGTCGCTTTACCTGCAGCATAAGCAGCGCAAGTCAGGAGCATTGATGTGGAGCAGCGCTACATGTCAAAGACTCTGTGGTCGTGTCAAAGCTGAGAATTCAGCTCTGTCACCGCAATGGAGATTTTCTGAAATGTCTTCTTTTTTACAGAATCTATGACTCATTTTTTCCCCCAAGTGCTTCTTCTGTGCACTTGATGAAATTCTTTTCATTAATGCACTAAATGTTAATCTCACATATTCCATTCTCTTAGGGATGAGTGAGTCTTGATCTACATTATCTGCTGAGGAAAAAAGCTGATTTTCTCTTGCTACAAGAGAACATGGAGAACCTTAGCACAGAGACAAAGTGAAAAAATTACACCTTAATGTGTGAAAAAAATCTAAATTTACAGCACACTGATAGACCAAACTAGACCAAAAAAAATTACTTTGGAATATTTTGTGTTTTTGCAGTGTAACTCTTGGATAACATGCGGTGGCAGAAAACCTCCACCAGCCAGAGGACGCAGGAACGCGTTAGGCAGCACTTGACAGGCCTGATGGGGGTCACACCGTGGGCCTCCACGAGGCTGAGTGGTAGGATTACGCAAGCGGCGGCCATGTTGGCCGACAGATGGCCTGATTCTGAAACCAACGGGTAAGCCAGGGCACCCACACACACTTGGTGGAGTCTTTGATCATCCAAAGCGCAGCGAGGGTCGACGCATCGTGTGCCAAGCGTGACAGGAAGCCATGACATCTGTGGACGTGTTCCAGAGACAGGGATCACAATCCTACTGTCAAAATAAATGCGTAGGCTCGCTGTCGGACGCTCCATCAGCCGTCTGATAACGCCGTTGCTGCTCCACTAGTGATGCCATCAGTTTAGACGCTGTGGTGTCCACTATATATCTACAGTCGACGTTAAAAGTTTTCACACCTGTGATAAAGTGCCAGGTTTTTGTGAATTAGAAAAACAAGACCAAAATCGGGGTGGGCTTGATTTGGTTTTATCACGATATTTTGTGGTGTTATTGTGATAATGTTCATAAGGGCTATTTATTACCTCTTTTTTTTTCTGTTAGTGTGTGGATGTGACTGTATGAAACGGCAATCAAAGGCCCACAAGGACAAACACTGCTCTTGAAAAACCAATCTGAAATAAGCTTCTTCAGGATGCCAGTCACATAAAGAAGTGTGATTTGTATCACCAAACTGTAAAGTGTTTCTGGATTTAACCATATTTTCAAATTTATTTATATTCTCACTGTGAAGAAATAAGTAAAACAATCCCAACAGCAGAGCCAGTTCCGATGGGTTTGAAACAAACATATTTGGAATTTATCATGACAACGACACATCAAAAATTCTTGTTATGGTAAGAAATTGATCTTGACAAATGATAAACGATGCGATAAATAATCAGGCCTTGACCAAAATAAACATCGTCATGGCAATTTCCACTTTCAATGTGATCCATTAGCTGTTCAGCTTAATAGTAAAACCAAAAAAGGAAAGAAAAACTTTCTCTTTTTGGAAGATTAAGGGAGAGTTAGGTGTTTTTTCATTGATCTGATGTAACATTCTAATTTTACATGTTGTGTTTTCATCAATTATAAGTGGAAAATCCTTGTAATTAAGAGAAATGAAGACTTGGAAACATTAATTTGTGTGTAATTAATTCATATGATGTGTTAGTGAGTTATTGAAATAAAAGGATTTAGAGTTTAAGAGTGTAAACAACTTTCCAAACACATGGGTTCAGGTTATTTTTCATTTATCTTTATTTGTCTCACATTTGCATTTGGAAAAAAAAAAAAAAATTTAACAGGGATGAGTGAAGATTTTATATCCACTCTACCTTCCCTTCAATGCTCTGCATGTGAACCAAGTCCTGATCCAATCAAACCATGATTCTGGTTCTGAGTACGGCGTTGTTGTGATTTATTTATACTTGGGTTGGAAATGTTGGCACATCTTTTCCCGCACCACCATCACCACCATCAGTGGCTTCTCACTGCTCTAACAGGCGCTGAGGCCGCGCCCCGTGACGCCCCGTGACGCCCCGTGACGCCCCAGGATGTTAAAAACCAGTCAGTGATTCTCCACTGGAAACAATCACCTTATAGACGCCGGTAAACTCTTCACCTACAACCGCTCTTTGTTACGCCAATATAAGGAAAACACCCAGTCCGTACCAGGAGAGGTAGCGCATCACTTACTATTTAAACACTGGATACACCGATAACACAAATCAAATGACTCGGTAGTGGGAAAAAAAATCCTTCACACAAAATCCCTCTTTTTTTCTTGTTTTTCCCCAGAAACATTACGCTGGATTATTTCCGGTGTGAGTGTGGATGCTTAATCCATTTCCGTGGCTGGGGAGCTGATTGGTGCATTTAAGTTCAGAATCCAGCGTGAGAGGCATGCGCTGCCTAATGTGTGACCTTGTGAGGGGATCTGTGGAGGAGAGGACGGCTGCAGCCTTCACTCTGACCCTGACTGTAACACACGATGCTGTAGTGGATGTTAAAAACATGCTGGTTTAAGATGAAAAAAAAAAAAACTTAGCCCATTTACTCAGATCTACTTGATTGTGCAACCAGATGACAATTGATGCGTTTTTTTTATTTATTTTTTTTACACCAACAATATGTCAGGATGACATTACCTGAATGTGCATCTTCCCCTCTGCTTTCTGGAGCATTGCACTGAGTGTCAGCTCTTTCTCTAGCTGTCCTTTATGCTACTACTGCCACGTTTCAGTAGATCTTCAAACCAGCAGAAGGAAATGCAGCTTTCACATAAACATAAGCATGATTTCAGGTTTATTAAAATAGATTTACTTCCATAATGATTTTCGAATTTACAATCATCTACCGTTACGTCGTTCTGTATTTTACCAGTTACGATGTAATTAGTAGTTTTAAGATCTTATTTATTGTGTCGGATTTCAGAAAGGAGAAATCAATTACATATTACATATTGATACTTGTAAGAAAATCTTCTGCCTACACTGTAAATCTTAACATTGTATTTAGATGAAAAAGGTGAGTGAATATAACTTGACTTTGATCAAGGTTTTGCTAACACTCAATGAAACTAAGTCCAGTGAATTTTTGGGAATATTGTGAATCACAATGTTGACTTAGAAAAAAAATAATTAAGTGGATGTAACTTGTTTTTTTTTGTTTGTTTGTTTTTTTTTTACATAGTTTTACATAAGTTGAAGGCCTTCTGAGGTAAAAACATGTTAAAAATTGCCTTCGTTAATTTGAAGAAATGTGAAAGTATGTGGAGAGTGCATTGTGTCACCAGTAGCAGCAATTAATTAAACCACTTTTTATTTGTCAGAAAGTTTGTTTTAAAGGTAGACTCAAAAGCTTCATCTATGTAGTCAGTTCATCAAAAATGAGCCTATATTTCAGAGCTGACAGCTTATCAGCTTTTTTTTTTTTCACACAAATCTGTACCAAGAGTGAGTTGCATTCTTATTTCCATAACAACCCCACTGAAAAGTCTCTTTGGAAAATGCCAAGCAAATACAAAGATGTGTAAAATTAAAGCAGGAAGAGAGAATGTGACTCAAAGACAGCTAGCATTACTGCCATGCAGCACAAAGCTATGTTAGCTAAATACCCAAAATGAAACACAGAACAAGACACTAAAGAACCTTAAAAGGGTTCAAAACTACCCACAAATGGTATACAATTATCAACACCAACACTGTACAAACCAGCTAAATCCTTTTTGTTGTCTCTATTAAGCAAAACTGTTACAAATATCAAACTGGGAGCTAACTCAAAGAGCAGACAGGGACATGGTAATGTGTGTGAGGGATGGTGTGTGTGTGTGTGTGTGTGTGTGAAGAGGAAAGTACAAAATGTCAGCTCACCTGCATTGTCATTTGTTGTCACGTTCAACCTGTGGGGCACTCGAGGTGAGACTTTCAGTGCTGCTCGTATCTGGTAGAAGCTGAGAAGACACAAAAACCCAACGGTTAAAAATACATAAAAACAAAACAGACATAGACACTTCCTTTTGATAACACAACACCAAGAATTGTTACAGTTTTCAACTAATATTTTACATACAAATTTATGTAGATTTTGGTACTAAAAAAAAGCTGGAAATTACCTTTGTTTTTTTTTTTCGGCTAACATGGCATTTAGCTTTATGCTAACCCTCTGGCCCTCTGAAATGCTGGATTCAGCCATATCCCAGCTTCAAAAATGTGAAGTAGTATCAGTAATATGGAGTGTGATAGACTTCCACATTTTTGATACTGGATTTAGAATATTTCAGTATCAAAAATGTGAAATTTGGTCGGAACTTGGATTTGTGCTATTGAAGTGGGACATTGTAGCATCTAAGACACAATCAAACTAAGATTTATTGGAGAAATAGTCTGATTCATGAGCTTATTTTACTTTCTTTTCTTTTCTACAGAGAGCTTCAATTAAACTTAAAAATTAAAATATTTATATATTAGATATACCATTGTGTCTGAATGTAAGAGAAAGCCTGTAATTTAATGTCTCATTTTTGTGCTAAATGTTAAAAAAAAAGTTAATGTTTTAAATTATAGAAACCCTGATAAGTGTTTTAAAAGGCTGAATGTAACATTTTGATTTTATTTACATGATATGAAAATATTAAAATTCAACTGCAGGCAACTTAGTTGAAACTCCTTAAACACTTCCACGTTTTGATAGATTACAACTCCAAACTTTTATATATTTCATTTGATTTTATGAGACATATCAGCAGGAAGTTATAGAATAATTTTGAAGAGAAAGAAAAAATACTTTTTTTTTTGTTTTACAAATAACATTTGTATACAGCCCCATGAGTCAACACTAAGTACTAGTTATATTGCAAGTACAGTCTTTTGTGTGTCTCTGCACATGTACACTGTGTGCTCAATAATTAGGGAAGTAAATACTTGAACATTCTCTGTTAGATTTTAATTTGGCCCCTGTCCATATGGTGTTAATTATTTACAGGATAAATACAAACATTTACAGATGACAGTGGAACAGGAGCATGTACCGGTGGTTACTTATGAACCTTCAGTTCACCAGAAACACAAACCCCAGATGGAATAGTATTATTGCTGTTCCAGCAACAAAAGACAAACAAAAACTAAATCTGACTATGGTGGATGTTTTGCCAATTTTTAATTTAGTTGCATGGAAATGCAATTTGTAAATTACTTTTGCAAAAAAGAAAAAGTTAAAAATTAAAGCCATTCTAAAACATTTTCTGTTTCTTAGACAGAACCTTGTCTATAATGTATATTTATTGATTTTTCCACAGTTCTTTGTGATATGGACACTGCACACACTAATCATATGATCTTGCAATAATAAACCTGCAACATGTTACGTTGGCATGATTGACAGTTTGATTTGCCCTTTGACCTGGTGCATGCTAATTACTGTCCCTAATAAAAGTTAATGTCAGTGTATGTTGGATTATGTATATTTCAGTAATAAAACACCAGTGCAGTCCTGCAATGTGAAAGCATTAACAGGTGACAAATTATCAGATGCATACTTTTTAAATTATTATTCTGTAGCCATAACATCGTTTTATTTGCAAAGCAGCTGATATTTAGGTCAAAGTTTGGAAGAATCCTCTGAAACTCTGTCATGGTATTCAAAACTTCTAAGGGCCATGGTAGTTTTTTTTTTTTTTTCTTCAAACTTTAAACCTGGAAATTTGAACTTAGCGCTTAATTACATAAAAAATTCAACCAGTCTCCTGTGTTTAAGACAAAACGTGTTCTTACGTTTACATCAAAACACAAAAAAGTAAAAAAATTAAATTCAATTTAAAAAATCCAAGCACTGGTGTACTGTGTACTAACTACAGAATCATGGTAATACTTGGGATACTTTGTATGTACTGTTGAGGTGCTTGTTGCAATAAGCACCAAATCAATTAATCGCATGATAAATTAAAGTGAACAATAATTTCCAGGTTGTTTGATCTTGTCACGTCTCTCTCTGTTTCTACCGAAGAAACAGAGCAAATATGTAAGTTTTGTATTGCTCACATCTACTAACACGCTTTGAATAGTTTATTTAAATCTTTTTTTAAAAGCCTGATTTTACGAGCCACCCCTCAGTGAAAGATACTTCTCTTCTATTTTAAATGAATGTAGGTGGAGCAGTGTGCATTTTCTTTACAGAGCTAATATTTGCTTTAATTCAAAGTCCAACAATCTATGCTTGGAACAAACTGAAATATGAAAACTTCTATTTGTCGGACACTGTGGGTCTCAGTGACAGGTCGGGTCGGGTCGGGTCAGGTCAGGTCAGTCTGTCTCTGAATACTGACATGGCTCCACTGTTCGGTAGAGCAGTAGAGAATGTCAGTCTGGAATAAATATGGACAGATTTTCATGGCCACCTTAATTCACTGTCTCCTGCACTACATTTCAGTAAATTCTATTATCATTCAGTCAACTCAGTTATAATTTATAGGTGTCAGTTTCCCATTTATCAGTGCAATTCTGAACAGTAAATTCTGAAAGATCTGCAATAATTTCTTCCTATTATTTTTTTTTACTAACCAGGTGAAAAAATGCAGGATTTTAAAAGCAACCAGTGAACAGACAGAACATTAACTGAACATCTTCAATGCCCTTCAGTCCTGAACAGGGATTAGGATTAATGCTGTAATTTCTGTTGCACAGTATAAACACTCTAAACCTTTGAGACACAAACATCATTATTCTACAACCCACCAGAGCTCAGCTCAGTGCTGACACTCTTCTCTGCTATCAGAGGAAAGGAGGCAGACTGTGGGAGCAGAAATATTAGTTCACTAAGATAAAAGCACAATCGTGATGAAGCTTGAAGCTTGAGCATTTTTAATTTGAACTTGAAAAATCCATTTTGCTGAAGCCGGTGTTTTACATGAGCCAGTGGAACGTTTTGTTTTATTTAATCTTCTTGCAGATACGTCATGCTGGGATTAACAATGCCTTTTTTATCTAACAAGATACCAGAGAAAGAAAAGACAAACTTGCTCTGTTGTCATTTCATTTGCTTTCATCTGAACCAGTTTGTACGTTTTTTTTTTTTTTTTTTTTGCTGGATGTGCTGTAAATTAAAGAGCTGCTCCAATTAACTGACTTTAAGGAAGTGCAAGGATTCACAGCCAACAGAGCCAAAAGCAGATCTGTTCAGTCTAATTCTACGCTTTGTGCTCCAAGCGACGTCATGCCTTATTTTTTATTTTACATTATATTTAGAATTCCTACTTTCTGAACCATTTGAAAGAAGGTTTGTTGCAGTATATTTTTACAGGTTTAACCAATGTAGTTAACCTATAGTTTGTCAATTTCAGTTTATTTATAATTTATTTTACATTTATTGTTTTACTCCTAACTGCACTGACTGAATAACTTAAAGTTGTGTTGTTTTTTCCATGTTTGACAAAGCATGTGAAGCTACTGGTGCATTTAAATGTACTGGTGCATCATTATTAAATAAATGTATATTTTACTACATTTATGTCTGTTTAAAAAAATAATCATTTTAAGTCAATTCAGTAGTTTTTCTGCATCGTATCAGTATCAGCTGATTCTAAACCTCAGGTATCGGTATCAGAAGCGAGAGAAAGTGGATCGGTGCAGCCATACTTTGAACAGAAGCCATTCATTTTCCATATTTAAAAAACAAGAATGTTAGTTGACACGTTTTCCTATATCAATAATGTTTCACTTGATATTCCTTTATTTTTATCTGTATTCTCTTCATAAACACGAGAACATTCTGTTATTGACATGAGTTTGGCAGTTTACAGCCAAATCAGCAACAATGTTTGAAACTGGAAAATCTATTCTTTTTATGATCAATAAACACATCATACTAAGTAAAGATACACAGTTATCAGCCAACAATACGGTTATTTTCAACATATCATATTGATCCAAATTTTTGGTTCAAATTTTTAAAGTTGTCCCAGCAGCAACAAGCTGCCCTAAAAGTTGCTGTCAGTATCTGCTCCTATATGACTCACACAGGTACGCAGACATTGAGAAGGTGATCCATTCGTTTATATAAGCTGGAGCAGATGGTGGGCAGATGGTAGATGTATAATGCATGAATACCTCAGTTATATCTGGAGCTGGTGCAAACCCTTCTTTGATATCTTCCGTACATAACTCAACACAATTCAGCTTAATTTCATTAATTCTGCAAATTCAGGAAGAGAGAATCAGCTTCAACTGGAATTCAACAAGTCTGCTTTTAGTTTGAAATTTTTCTCATTCTTTGCACAAGCTATCTACCTCATTAGTGCGTTTTTTTTGCAGAGCAAATAGCACAAGCTCAGACATGACCATGTTGTACACTCTTTTTAGATTGAATCTCTACCCTTCCACATGTAGCAGTAGGCAGCTAGCTAGATAAAAAAAATGGCCACCACAGTTTGAGCTCATTTACGATTACCAAATATGATAATATAAACAGTCATTGTGTTAAAACTGAATCAGTGCCACCAGTAAGCCTTAGTAACACTGTTACTGTTGAAGTACAAGTATTTGTTAGGTACCGCAAACCCTTGAGAATCCCTCTAAAAAGGTTAACTGCATTTTTTTTATAGTTCAGACACCAAATAAACCTTCATAAACTCCATAAGCTAACATCCTGGTCTTAACTCCACTCTTTGGGACAGAGCCAATCAATGTGAAGGTAAAATGAATGCCGCTCCAGGATTGGCTACTTTACAAATGCCAGCCAGTAGCATGTCTAGTAGCATTACACAACGTTATTTCAACTTCACAAGTTTCATTATAGAGGATTTTTCATATGCTCTTTTAAAAAGTAAATTTTCCACGAATAATTTGGAATCACATTCCACAGCAAAATCCGCAAACAGATGAATGTGTGAATTCTGAACCAATGCAGAACCACTGACTCTGTATGAATTGTTGTTACAGTCTTTGGCAGAGTTCTACCTTCAAATGGTGGAATTTTATTCGAAGAAATCAGACCAGAAGAATCTCATTGTGACTCATACCTATTTACATAAATCCAGACATGGAACCACTAAGAATTACTCATCCAAATCTTTACATACAAATACAATTTATTTGTGTTTTTGTCATTAGCAGAGATATAGAAGAAGGTAGAAATAAAAAAAAAAAAACACTGCTTATAAATGACCAATGCATCCGAAAGGTTTTGAAGTTTTTATTCCTTTGGTTCCCATTAGACAGAAAACTGAAGCATTCTGTGTTGCTAAGCCGACTAGCCGCCAATAAATAGCTATGTTTATTAGTGTGGATTTAATTAGAATGCTGATGGTGTTCTAATTAAATCCACACGTATTCACCTAAACATGCTGGCATTTCCATGCACATGTGCATGACAGCCGATTGTTCAGAGACTCCATTGAAGAAACATTACGTTGTGCCTATTTAAAGCAAAAAAAAAAAAAAATTGAAATACACCGAAAAATGTGCAGGTTATCCATAATGTCCATGAAATTTTGTTTATATGTGGCCAAAGCCAGATGCTATTGGGTTCGCAGTTTACAGTTGAACAAAAGAGTCTTTGCGAGGTCTTCGTAGGCAAGAACCTCTTGCAATTTTTGGCTTCTCCTTATTTGGCAGAACTAAAAGCCTCAAACCTAATCTTAAACTGCAAGCCAAGTTAATCACCTCCATTACGTGAGTTATAGCCATTTGATCAGCCGGTTGGTAACTTTTACCACTGTAGAAATGAAAATAAACTGTTAGCATTCTTGTAGAGTGTGTCGTTTCACAACTAGTTTGGTGTTCTGACACATTTCAAAGGCAACAGCCAGAATCCACTCACCCCCTCTGAAACAGATCCACATTGTGAAACTTGTGCAGTTCTACAGAAAACTCCAGCGTTCCCTGTACTTCAGACATGATACAGTCCCACTCATCACCTGAGAAGAGAAGAACAGGACACAAATCAGACAAACAGTAAAAGTAGAGATCGACTGATGGCACTTCTAAAATTAGTTCGCTTCGTTGCGTCTTCAGTCATCTGAGGTGATGTGACTCAGACCATCCATCGTGGGGGAATGAGAGGAACAATGCGAGCCCAAGATAGACACCTTGCTCTTAATATAGCACTGATTATTACTTCTGGGATGAGATTTAATTTTTTTCTGTCAGGAAGAACGGATGTGTGCGGTTGGCAGCTTCCCTGTGTTGTGTTCATAATGGAAGATAGGCATCAAAGAACGTCAGGCCTTTGAAAATGTGGTAATGACATCGCTTTTTTTTCTAGATATGACTAAACAAATGAATGAATGAAAGAATGACTTATTCATAAAGCCCAATTCGCAGACACAGAAAGGTGGACGGATTTGTTGGTGCATTTCCAAAAAAATAATGCCCCATTTCTTGGGAAAAGTAATTCAGTTAAAAGCAGTTGTGTATCTGCATGCAGGTTGTATCTGATGCTTTTGACACAGAGCTGTAAAGCCTGAATGCCGCTGCTCAGAAAACAGAAACCCATTCCATGAAACTCTCTGAACCCTGGTGTTAAGGTAAGGCCCCATCAAATTTGGAGACTCTGATCCCAGTAACACCCACTTTATTATAAAACATGTTGATTGTTTATAGTAACAAGAAAGTTTTACATCTGGACCAGTGGCATCGTGTCATGTTGCCATGCTGTGCCCCTGAGAGCGACCCATTCTTTTAAATTCCTTAGCATGGCATGGTTTCTGAGGAAAAAAATGTAGACTATTGTGGCTACTCCCTTGTTGCAGGAGGCTATCTCCATTCTGGAGCTAGCTCCTGATTTGACTAGACATTGGCCACTGAGCGGGTGGCGCTAGCAAATGAGAAGCAGGCTACTCAGCTGCGTTAGCTGTGGAGAGGCTGGTCACCCACTGGATTGCCTTCTTCCTCTTCAGGCCATTAGTTCCCATTCAGCAGGCTAGCATTAGCCTGCTGAATGAGAAGCTTCAATTGGAAGCCATATTTAGCTGTGTAAAATACAGTATGTTTACTCTTGGTGTCACCTTGGGTTACAGTAAACTCAATCAAAAGAACACATCAATGAATCTAATGCATGTAGCATACATATATCGTATGTGGTTGACCAGCTTAGGCATGCCAATACTAATGTTAACTTTTCCAACACTAAACCTAGCCTATCAAATGATAAACCACGCCTATACAATGCTAAAGCTACCCTATATGAAGCTAATGCCAGCCTTTATAACTCTACTGGCCAGCAGAAGAAGAAGGCCCTCCAGTTGCTTCACCTAAACAAAAATTAGGCTGGTAGTCACCAACCTATCAAATGCTAGCCAACTTGCACTAATGGCCAGCAGAGGAAGAAGATAATTCAGTCGGTCAAGGAATCATCGACACTAGCCTCTCCAAAGCTAACGCCAGTGGGAGTTTTTTTCCATTTGCTATTATTAATCAAATCAGTAGCTAACTTTGGAATGGATATAGGAAGTGACTGGAGTAGCTGAATTCAATGATTTTTAGAGGTAAGAACATACTGACATGTAGCACGGCACATTCTGAAACTCAGCTGATTCATATTAATCCTTTAATAGCCCTTGAATTTGTAGATTTACATAATCCGACTGAGAGAAATAACGACACTCAATGTGCTTAACAGAATGACGCGACTGAGAAGTCAGTGTACTTGGGATCATTGCTCCCTGTGGAAAACTAACCGTGATTTTGTTTAGCAGTACACCTTGTCTACAACTCTGATACCTCACACACACAACAGCATCTAGAGAAAGTACACACTGAAAGCTGAGCTCCAACCAGCCGACGCTGACAGTGTTTACAACAAAGACTATCAAATAACCTCTCATTGAACGCTGTGAAATGCAATCCACACAAATACGGTAGGATGGAGTTAGCGTAAGGGTTAGGGTTAGGGTAGGGTTAACCCTACCCTAACCCTAACCCTGCATCGGGCTGCGAAAACAGTCAGGGGGAGTCATAAGTCGAAAGGAAGCGGCACACAATAACATGCCAATAAAGATAAATATAGTCCTGGCAGTGGAATACCTCACTAAAGTATAGCTTGTGCTCAGAGAGCTGATCTTCAGATGAGACGATTTGTTTTACTTCACCAGAGAAGATTTGGCATAATGAAAGGGTTTTACTGTACAACAGCATCAACACCTGGCTTTTTCAGCATCAATGAGGTGCTTCACAAAACACTTTACACCATCACTAACAGCTAGTCAAAATATTAAAGCCTACATTAAAATAATTCAGTGATTTCATTCCCACAGCAAAAATCTTATGAGGTAAGTAGCAGGAGAGACAACAGATCTATTGCCTTTAGGGTTTGGCGCAGGATGATAACGTCACAGTTTCACAAAATGTGTACAAGAATTATGTTTTTGAACTTGTCTGCAGTTCTGTTCTTTGCAGAGTAAAAGAAGTTTAACAACAAGCATATCTGCCTAAAAGAGACACTTGTGCAGCAACAGGTGGGGGAGGAGGCACACTGCATCGCTGTACAATTCACACAGCAGAAGCAAACTCCAATTTCTGGTGGAAGATATTAGCATGAAAATCCAGAGAAAAGTCCTTCTGCAGCATAAATTTGAAGTGTTCTTAAATGATATCGACCCGTCTTGTTCCCATGATCTGTGTCTTGTTTTCAGAGTTTTGTGTATCATTATGCTCCTATTCAGGGTCATCGTTATGATTCATGGAGAATTATTTCTATTTTCATTCTCAGATGCAAATTTAATTTTGTCCTACAAGATAACCTGATCTAAGCTGGTTCTCTCTGTGTTAACCCAATACCAACTCAACCCAATGCCTCATAATAAGTGTATTAGTCAATGCACAGTGTATAAGCTTTGATGTTTCTATTGCATGTTAGGTGATCGTAAGCAAAATCTGAAAATGTGTCTAATGCACATAGTCTCTTTTGCACAATTAAGCAGAACACAATCTCTCTAAATGACCAGTTTAATTAATCTGTGGTTGATACTAACTTTACTAACTTCTGCTAGTAATTTTCAATTCTCACTTCAGAGTATGAGCACACCTTAGGTAAGCTCTGATAAGTCACAATGGAAGATGCAAGATTAGCTTTTGCAGTGTTTAAAAATGAATTAAAGGACAACAAACCTGTTGTCAGCCATTTGCAAGGAAACTGTATCACACATGTCAAGATATCTGTGGTTCAATCAGGCTGCGAGAGAAAAAGAGAAATAAATTTTCAGTAGAAAACAAGACTGAAAAGATTACAGTCGAGTTGCTTTCGTTTACCATTTTGAAATGTCAACTTTGGTTAAGGAGCACGCTGGATTTGAAAAGACCGACAGGCATTTGGAAATCTCAGTCCATGTAAGAATCTATTGTTCTCAATGAAATACACATGCAGACTGTTGCTTTAGTAATGCTACTCATGCTAACTATGCTGGAATTAAAAAATACTCTATCTTTTTTTCTTTGGTTTTGAAATGCAAAAAACTATTTTTACAGTAATAGTTACAACACAGAATGATGTAATGTCACATATTCACCATAAACATTAGTTTGCTGTTTTTATATTTTCTCCTAACATAATTCATATATAGAAATTGACCATGACCAACAAGGCAGCAGCTTTAAAAAAAAAAAAAAATAGAGAAATTGTAAACTGATCACAAAATACTGATTTCTGCATCTCCAGATTAAACAGGTAATATAAGTAAAACACCAGGCTTCACAGCGGTCATCGACCAAAACCATCTGCAAACAGCTAATATACATAATTACTTGAAACTCCCAAAGCCTTATAACTACCTACTTTAATAGTTTAAACACCAAACATATCTTATTATCCATCAACACACACAGTGGAAACCGAACAAACGCAGAAGTTAATCTCTAAGGTCTTCCATATTGGAGTGTACATTCAATCAGTACCAAGGAGAATATGGTGCTCAACGATTGGCTGATTTGTCAACACCAACCAATAGCATGTCTTTGTCAACACCAACCAATAGCATGTCTTTGTCAACACCAACCAATAGCATGTCAGGTAGCATTGTGGCGAGGTATTTCAGCTTCCCAACCTGCACTTCCTTTGAAAGGATACACTCTACGGGCATGTCTTTGTGAATAGGTAATCGTTTGGAGTTACACAGACAAACGCAGAATACAACAGAACAGATCAATCCACGAACACTGAACTGCATAGGCCAGAGTCAACGGTAGACAGCTAGAGGCACAAACAGCAAACTACAATCCTTTCTCCAATCTACAGAACAGCTAAATCACAACAGGAGCATCCTATGACGTCGACTGTGGGATTTTTCTCTACCTTTTGCCAAAAGATTACCATATGTATCATTGTGATGTTGTGACAAACAGGTTAAGAATCTTCATACCTACCACACAGACATCTTGGAAGTTACGTCTGAAAGTCAAACCTTCGCCCCCGACCCAGAGTCGGCATGAGAGAGCACTGCATCATCAAAGCAAAAACAGTCCAGTTCTCGGAAACAACAAAGTGTTTTATGTTGAAGCCGGTCACTGCTAGGTTTGGCCGGAGGCCAGAGCTGTGTTCCCTACTTCTGCTGAGTCAGTGGGCTGCATGTGACAGCTGTAATGTCCCCAACCGTCACCAGATCGTTTAACGAGGGTATGTTTCCTCACTGTTGATTTGATGTAGGCCTCCCTAATTGCTTTCCCGATCCACTGAGCTACACTATAAACTAGCAGCCGGGGTTATCAGCTAGCTGCAGACACCAATTCATTATAAGGAGGGCCTCACTTCTGTCGCAGTATGTTAGCTTGGCAGTAAAGAAGGAGAATGTACACTGTGTACTTTGTTGAATATTGAGGCTTACAGCCCTGGGGACCAACGGCAAGATAGTGTCGTCCCCCCTCAACTGAAGAAAGGACAGGAGGACAAAGGCGGATATAATAATTGAAGGGAGGAAATATATTG